CAGGTGGAGAACGACCAGGAACGGTTCCTGAGTGATCTGTGTCGGGATGTGCAGAAGGTTGTTGGCTTTGATGCTGTGATGCGGGTCCGGACAAGCACCGGTAAGTCTGTCCTGGTTGGAGAGGAAAGATGGGGGGCTAAATCTGGGAGGGAAGCATGGCATCTTTCGTACCCTAAGCCATGTTCCTGTCTGTATGGCCTCAGGTATCCGTGCTGTAGATTTCTTTGGGGCTTTCTACATGAGCAACACAACAGATGTGGAGTTGGCTGGGCTGGATGTGGACAAGACGGTGACTGTGGAGTTCAAGCATGATGATCGGCTTAATGAAGAGAGTGGAGCCCTCCTGCAGGTGGCAGACAGGAGTCAGGGTCCAGGGGAGATATATCGAGTGTCATTCCTTTGATTATAAATAGGCTGCAGAGAAGAGGGTGAAGGGTGGGAAGAAAGAGCTGGAAAAATCAGCTGAGGAAGGAATGGCTCATTCTGTTCATGGTGGAGCAAAGGGGCAGTTTTTCAAAGTCCGCCCTTTCTCCCTTTCACTAGTGTGCCCTGCTCTACACTAGCTGTTCAGGGCAGCGTCGGCTCCGTATCCACAATCTAGCCCTCAACTGCTGCACCCAGCTGGCTGATCTGTATCGAAACTGTGAGACCGACACACTCATCAACTACATGGCCAAGTTTGGTGAGGGAGAGACAGGGCAGGGTGGGATTTGGGTTAAGAAAAAGTTCAGGATGGACAGCAGTTCAACATCCCCAGACAGATATGGTGACAGGGAAGCGCATGTTGGAGGAGACCTGAATTCTTTTGTCTCCCTTTCCCATCCAGCATACCGGGGTGTCCTAAACAGCCCTGTGAAGACTGTTCGCGACACTCTCATCACCCAATGTGCCCAGATCTTGGCCTGTTACCGGAAGAACTGTGCCAGCCCTTCCTCTGCAGGACAGGTAGGGCAAGCTTATTGAGGGATGAGATGTTGAGACAAATTTTGCATTTGGGAAGTGTTTATCAAAAACCTCGATTTTATTTTGATAATTTTCAGTTGATCCTTCCTGAGTGCATGAAGTTACTCCCAGTTTACCTGAACTGTGTATTGAAGAGTGATGTCCTGCAGCCTGGAGCTGAAGTGACCACTGATGACCATGCCTATGTCCGACAATTGGTTACCTCCATGGATGTGGCTGAGACCAATGTCTTCTTCTACCCTCGACTGTTGCCATTGGTATGATTGAGGGCTGTAGTACAAGACATTACATGAAAAAGGGCACCTGAGAAGGAGGAGGTGGGGGTAGATAGACATGTGATGATGTAACTTTTATACTGATATGACTCCTGAGACATTAGAAGGAGTGGTTCCTAGGGATTCTGTTTTCTCAGGAAAAATATTTTGCTTATTCTTTTTTTTCTTTTTGAGGGGCAATGTTGTCTCTGGTCCAGAGTAACCCTTTGCCTTATTCCTTTTGTCTAGACAAAAGCTCCCATTGAGAATACCACGGAACCACCAGCAGTTCGAGCATCTGAAGAGCGTCTAAGCAATGGCGATATATATTTGCTGGAGAATGGGCTCAACCTTTTCCTGTGGGTGGGAGCAAGCGTCCAGCAAGGTGTTGTCCAAAGCCTCTTTAACGTCTCTTCCTTCAGTCACATTACGAGTGGTTTGGTGAGAGCTGGGTGTCAAGGAGAATGGGTTTGGGATGGCATGAGTGGGAACTGACATAGCCAGCCTGGGAGTCTTCTTAAACATTAGGGCATATTACTTAAGGAACACTTGGAGATGATGGAGGGTGCTGTGTCCCAGAGAGGATACATAAATATGCACTGCCGCCTCTTAACTCTGAGTACCTTACCCAGAGATCAAATAATTTTGTGTTCCAGAGTGTTTTGCCAGTTCTGGATAATCCGCTGTCCAAGAAGGTGCGAGGCCTCATTGATAGTTTAAGGGCACAGAGATCGCGTTACATGAAGGTAATGCTCCTTCTCAACTTTGGATTTCTTCTCTGGTTAAATCTTCAGCTGGAAAGGGTTTGGGGAGTCAGTGGCTGGGTAATGGAATTTCAGGATTGTCCATTCCCATTGGCGCCCTGCCTTATGATTCTGCCTTCTGACCCTAGCTGATTGTGGTCAAACAAGAAGACAAGCTCGAGATGCTGTTCAAGCACTTCCTGGTGGAAGACAAGAACCTGAGTGGGGGAGCATCCTATGTGGACTTTCTCTGTCACATGCACAAGGAAATTCAGCAGCTACTGAGCTAGATCGAATGAGTAAATGACGGTCCCAGGCCAGCTTCCAGAAAGTACCCAGACAGCAGAGAAATTGGGACAGTTCCATATCTTATATGTAAGCTGAAGCCACCCTTTGGGGGGAGGGGGATGCATAAGGAGACACCTTTCTGGGCTCAAGTATCTTACCACTCTGTCATGTCCTGCTGCTGGAAGGTGCCCACACTCCCTCACTCCACCCTCCTTTTCCTGCTAATCCTGTCGTAATGAATGTAGTTTCTCAGTTAACTGTATGTGATTCGGTGTTGGGGGTTTGGAGGTGCCTAGACTGACAATTATTATGTGTCTGTTTGGATCAGCCTCCAAGAGGAAAGGGACAGGTATCAAAGAGTGGGGATCCCAGGCCTACTACAGATGGGGCAAATTCAGCTCTGTGTCATCAGCAACTTCCTATATTAGGGATAAGATACATGGGTGCACACGAGCTGGAATATAGACGATAGGTGGTAGAGAAAAAAAGTGCTTGGTTCTCTCTAGACCTGGAGGTCAGAAGCCAAGGCAAGAGTTTCTGAGGGTGATTGATTAGGTTCCTCTGTGCTTCCACTGCTCTTTATCTCCCGCAATGATTGGTGATCACTCCATGGTATTGTCAGAGATGAAGGAACTGAGTTGCAAAGAATATTAAGACCTGGGAGAGATACCATCCTCTTTTCCAGTTGGAGAGGTCCCAACACTAGATGGTTCTGTAAGGAGCCTGGTCATCAATTTGCAATACCTCACAGAGCCAGCCCACATCCCACACTGAATTCCCACTGGAAACATTCACTGCCTCTCCAGGCTGGGAATTGCTGGGTAGAGAGGCAGAGGCAGCTGGAGCTGTTCTACTTGCCCGAACACTACCCGGATCTGGTATTGACAGAGTGGCTGACAGTTATCTTCCAACCCCAACTGGCTGGGGCAGGACAAGGGCTAGGCTGGAGGTGGCTGGATTTGTTTGCCCCCAGCCTGAAATGCCCCTGCTCTGGGCCTCTCATTTATCTTCATTGGTTTATTTTTCAATGCATCTTTAATTTGTAAAGAAATAAAATAAATTAAGGTGTAACTAGTAGCCTGATATTTTACTCCCCCGTCATCTCACTTCCCCTTCAGCCCCTAGTACCCAGCCTCGCAGATCCTGGGAAGTGGCCGGCTGTGAGGAGTTGCGCATGCGTCATGTGGCCGGTGGCGTAGCATCTTGCCCCGTGGCGGCAGCTGGTGGGTGGGCCACAGTGCTGGGGGGCGCCTGCTGCCAGAGTGGACATGGCTGCCGGTCGCACAGAGTTTGTGCTTGCCGCTCTTGGGGTGCTTAGCGTCTGGTCAGCGGGCGGCTCTGGGCCTGTGGCAGAGACGGAGGCCGGTGGGGAAGCGGAGTGGGCGGAGCCGTGGGACGGCGCTGTTTTTCGGTCTCCTTCGGCGCTGGGCGTTGTGGGGGTGGCGCAGAGTCGGGGGAGCCGGCGGCTGGGGCGGGAGGAGGCAGCGGACTTGCCGGTACTGCTGTGGTGGAGCCCTGGACTGTTCCCCCACTTCCCGGGCGACTCTGAGATTATTGAGTGCGCGCGCGGCGCATGCGTGGCGTCCCGAGACCGACGGGTCCGCGCAGACCCGCGGACGCGCGCGCTGCTCTTCTACGGTACCGATTTCCGAGCATCGGACGCACCCCTGCCGCGTTTGGCGCACCAGAGTTGGGTGCTCCTGCACGAGGAGTCGCCACTCAACAACTTTCTCCTTAGCCACGCGCCAGGCATCCGCCTCTTCAATGTAACCGCTACCTTCAGCCGCCACTCAGACTACCCGCTGCCGCTGCAGTGGCTCCCGGGGACGGCCTACTTGCTCCGTGCCGCACCCCCGCTGCGGGAGCGCGCCCAGTGGCGCCGCCGCGGCTACGCGCCGCTGCTCTACCTGCAGTCCCACTGCGACGTACCCGCGGACCGAGACCGCTACGTGCGCGAGCTCATGCGCTACATCCCGGTAAGTGGGGCGAGGGGAGGGACGGCACGGAAGGGGCGGTCAGCGCCACAAGCCAGCTGCCGCTGACCTGCTGCACCCTCTCCCCCCAGGTGGACTCGTATGGGAAATGCCTGCAAAACCGAGAACTTCCCACCCCGCGGCTGCAGGACACGGCCACAGCCACCACCGAGGATCCAGAGCTCTTGACGTTCTTGTCCCGTTATAAGTTCCACTTGGCCCTCGAAAATGCCATCTGTGACGACTACATGACAGAAAAACTCTGGCGCCCCATGCACCTGGGCGCTGTGCCTGTGTACCGGGGCTCCCCCTCTGTGAGGGACTGGATGCCTAACAATCACTCCATCATCCTTATTGACGACTTTGAGTCCCCGCAGAAGCTGGCGGAGTTTATTGACTTTCTGGACAAGAATGACGAGGAGTACCTGAAATACCTTGACTACAAGGAGCCCGGGGGCATCACCAACCAGTTCCTCCTGGACAGCCTGCAGCAGCGGGAGTGGGGCGTTAATGACCCTTTACTGCCCAACTACCTCAATGGCTTCGAGTGTTTCGTCTGCGACCATGAGCTGGCTCGGCTGGATGCTGAGAAGGCCCACGCGGCCTCTCCTGGGGACACCCCTATCCCTGAACCTCGCATTGCCCAACCCTCACACATGGCCTGCCCAGTGCCTGCGCCTGGCTTTGGTGGTGTGGAAGAGATTCCTGACAATGACAGGTAAGAGCTATGGGGTACCCTGCAGCTGCCGAGTCAAATGCTCTGTTAGCACACTTGCCGTGGGCCTTGAAGTAGCCTAGGCATTGAGGGGGATGATGTATTAGGAAATGATGACATGGACTCTCTGTACGGTTAAGGTGTCAAGAGTCCAGATGAAGAGATTAAGCAAAGTAGGAAAAAGCTCATGATCTGAAATATAAATCGAGGCAACTACAAGTAAAATTGTTAACATTATGTTGTGCCTTACTCACACTGACTCACAACTGATCCTCCAGTAGACTTTCAGGGACTGTAAATTGCAACAGGAAATGCCCATCTTTGTTATGTAGAGTACAGTTCCTTACCACTAGGCCACTGGTGCTCAGTTATACTGTTGTGTACCAGGGAGTCAAAGCTGACTCATAGCTGAACCTTCAGTGGATTTTTAGAGGCAGTAAATCACATGGGAAGAAATTGCCTATCTTTCTCCCTTGGAGCAGCTGGTGGATTTGAATCATGTACCTTTGTGATGGCAGTACAATGCCTCACCACTAAGCCAGCAGAGTTACTGCCTAGTTAGGCTGTAGTGGTTCGGAATAACTCTTTGAACCACAGTAGAGAGCTTGGGCTGGGAAGTCATGTGGCAGAGAGAGTTGCACATATAAGCAAGGGCCAGGCTATAGATAACACAGGTGTGGACTGCCCTGAAAATCAACTTGGGACTCTGTCAAGCACCTTGCATATAGTGGAGGGTCATGGTTATCCCTAGGGACAAAAAAGATCATTATTTTGAGGGAGATTTGCTTGAAATCATTTTTAGTCTGCACCTGTTGACCTAGCATCATTATTAATAGGGCCTGGTTTGCATCATAAATTTTGTGTTCACTCTAGACTCAAAGGATTACTTCTAAAAGATTAATTCAACAATAGTGAGCAGTAAGGATTGGAAGAAATGAGGTTACTGTAGAAGATAGTGGCATTGGGAAACAAAATCAGCCTGGAAGGCAGAGTGAGGATGTGTTGAAGCCACTTGCATTGAACCTTGCCTATTAAAGAAAGTTATTAAACTTAAGAAAGAGAGGCTGCTAGTATAGCTTTAAAGATCTACTTAGACAGCAGAGAGAGTTGTTTATGTAAGCACTAAGGCATGGTTTGGTCCTAATGGTGGAATACCTAGTTTATGTTGAATTTATTATTTAAAAGAGGGAAAAAGTGAAACTTTTAAAGAATATTAATAGTCTTTTCAAGGACCTGGATATACTGTATCTTCATCTGAGTTATTGAAATAAAGGTTCAACCTAAAAGATAACCATCTGAAAGAGCCTCCTCCATTGCTTTCATTGACTAGTGCATCTTTAGCTGTGCCTCTCCCCTGCCAGCCTCTGAGATCCCTGGGCAACTGAGAACCAGGAGAAGGCAAGTTAGGAATATTAACTCATTGGGTGGAGAGTGTGAGATATTTGTGTTGTGACCTGCTGCCTGCCACGCGTGCCAGGGCTGGATTTACTTCACATAGCCTTCCCTTTGCAGCAAGCCCTGGTTTTGTTTTTGGGTTTTTTGTTTGTTTGTTTGTTTTTGTGTTTGTGGTTTTTTTTGTTTTTGTTTTTTGACCAGACCACTTTTATCTGTTTAAGATTCTTTGGCCCAACTCAGAGAAAGATAGGATTTACAAAGTTTTACTTAGGTTTCCTAATCCAGCCCCCATTTTGGTGTTTCAGCTGGAAGGAAATGTGGCTGCAAGATTATTGGCAAGGTCTGGACCAGGGAGAAGCTCTCACCACCATGATCCACAACAATGAAACCCAACAGACAAAATTTTGGGATTACCTGCATGAGATCTTCATGAAAAGGAACCAGAACCTCTAATTACCCTTCTGAGAGCCTTTAACTTGGTCAGGCCAAGGAGATGAGAAGTCCTTATTCTATCATGGAACATAAAGTGAATCCACAGCACAAACCCTTAACACTGTTTTATCATGGATACAGGACATTCCAGTAATAGTCACTGTTATTTTATCATTATGATATGTAATCAAGGTTTCAGCCTGTGATAATGGGATTTTTCAAAGAAGGTAGAGGCATTCAGTTCTTGGTTCAATGGGAAACAAGTCTGAAGCACCCATTTGATTCAACTTGCTGCTGCAATAGATTTTTCCAGCTTGTTTATTTCTGTAGCCAGTTCATCCTCAGTTGTGCCTGGAACACCACCTTAGTACTGATTACCAGTGAGGTAAGATGAGTCAGGTGCAGAAGTTAAAATTTCTTTTCCCTAGACCTCTTCCTATTTAATATATCTCCTTATATTCTTTCCTACAACACAGTTTCTTGTTTTGTAAACTGTTGGTGAAGAAGCACAACTCATGTTGGGTTGTATTCTGGTACTGTGGATTTAGAGAATTTACTTAGCCTCTCATCGTAAATTTTTTTTCTTATTTTAGATCTTTTTCCAGTTTCTGAGTTGCTGTAAGCTAGTCCCCATTCCCACATTGATTCCTGATTACACTGGCTATAGATTTTGGCAACTTTTCTTACTCCTGGTTCTTACCTAGGGCATATTTGGAATTCTTCCTCATCTCATGAAACAAAAATTCAGTGGCTAACATATGTGCCGTTGAGTCACCTGCAACTCATAGCGACACTACGTAGAACAGCCCTAAACCCTTCTCTATCCTGTGCCAGTCTTACTGTCTCTGACATACCTACCCCCATTACCTGAGTCACTGAATCAGTCCATCTCCTCGAGGATCTTCCTCTCCTGCACCATCCCTTCACCCTCCCAAGCATGATGTCCCTCTCCAAGGTCCAGTCCTTCATTGCAACATGTCCAAAGCATGTCAGACGAAGTTTCAGAATCCTTGCCTCCAAGGAGCAGCCTCGTTTAACCCTCTCCACGATGAACCTGTTTGTTCTCTTAGCAGTCCATGGTATATTCAGTACTCCTCTCCAACACCACAGCTCAAAGGCATCAATTCTCCTTCTGTCCTCCCTAGTCATTGTCCAGCCTCACTGATGCATAGCAAGTCATTGCAAAGACCGTGGCCAGTATCAGGTGCACGTTGGTCTCCAGACTGACATCATTGCTCTTCGGTACATGGGAGAGGTCTCTGATAGCAGACTTTCCCAATGTAATACATCTTTTAATTTCCTGGCTGCTGGTGCCAAGAGTGTTGATTGTGGAGCCAAGCAAACTAAAGCTGTTCACAATCTCAGTCTCTTCACCATCTATCATGATGCTGCCAATTGACCCAGGGGTGAGAATCTTTGTTTTCTTGATATTGAACTTTAGTCCATATTGAAGGTTGCAGCAATTTAATGACTCCCGTTTTAGACTAGAGATGGAGAATAAGGCTAGAAATTGTAGTTGAAAAAGTCTTAATGTATGTATTTTAAATAAATTCAGGGTGTTAAAATAGGCTGGTATGAATCAGAGGGCAGTCTTTGCCCTATTCTACCTAATGAATTCACTCTATTATATTTATTTACTACCTAGAGCCATTTCTGCTAAAAGAATCATGGAAATGGTGATGAAAAACGAAACTGCTCAGCTCTAGTAATAATCATCTCATATATGAGCCTGGGTGGCATACTGGTTACATGTTTTGAAGGCTAACGATAAAGTCAGTGGTTCAAACCTACCATTCCCTTCATAGAAGAAAAATGTGGCAGTCAGCTTCTGTAATGAGTACAACCTTGGAAACCCTGTGTGACCGTTTCTACTCTTAGTTTTTCTCTAAGTCTGAATACACTTAATATTATTTAGATAAGATTGTGGGCTTAGAAACCAGAATTGTTCTATCATCTTAAGAAGGGCATTTTATATTAAAGAATAAAATGAAAAAACAAAAAATTCTCACAGTGAAATCCATCTTAAATGACATAATTTTTGGTGTTCAGCTTCTTAGACATCACATGATAAAAGTTCATTAGGCAATAAATATTACACAATGCAAGCCTAAGTTAGGACTCAGATTTCATTATTTGCTGTAATAATGGGTGATACTTAGGCAGGGTCAAGAAACATCCATACTTCTAAATATACCAGCTCACACTGGTATTTGTTTCTAATTTTAAATGTACCCATTTTAAATTATTGTTTATGGATTAGATGGCTGTAGACTCTCGATTGCTTGTGAGCAGTGCACCTAGGGTTTCTCCATTATTACTAGCATCATATGTATAGTCACAAGAGAACAGGGTAAACCAGGTGCTATACTCCCCACAGGGGAAGTAGAACCAGAAATAGCCACATGGTACTTAAAAATTAAAGGCTTCATTTTCCCTACGGAGAAAGCAATGAGAATTTTCAATGAGCCCTAGCCTATAACAATACACAGCAACAAGCTTATTGCAAGGCTAGGCTTGTTGATGTTAGAAATGTGTTAGAAATTTTATTTATCCTGCTAGGAGCAAGGATAATGCCTTTATTATAACAAATATTGATCACTATTTTGTATTATCTTAGTTTTCATTGTATAAATAAACTTCCATTTCAACAGTGTCTCTTGTTCAATTATTTTTCTGGAGTGGCATAAGAGTTGGAGACTTGCCAAAAGTATTTCAAACATTTGTTTATTCAACAAAAACCAGCTGATTCTTGCTAATCATGGTAGTTATGTAAGGTTGCTACAAATACTGAATTAGGAAGTACTGTACCACTGTTCCAAGGGGAAAAGGCTCCTACAAGCTACTGGCCACATTTTCATCAACTTATCAATATATAACTATTATATGTTACATTTATTTATGATAAAGCATTATGTGTAACACTCTACTGTAATTATACTTTGATGCTTTCACTCAGTTATTCACACAAATACAATACATACAGTACGCACATAAAGGCTCAGTACTGTGAACAGATGTGTATATACTGTACGGTGTAGCAATGCAGATAGCTCATTGCCATCAAACTGCAGCGAAACTGACATCTGACCCTCCACTGGGTTTCAGAGGCTGTAAATCATATAGGCGGCAATTGTAAATCTCTCTTCTGAAGAGCTGCTGGTTGGTTCAAACCGCCAAAAAAACTCAGCCTTTGTGTTAGCTGCACAACTCCCTAGACTAGACCACCAGAGCTCTCTGTACATAATGTCCTAATATACCAAAAGCCTAAAGATGGAGCATTTTAAGTTTTACAGAAACATTAATTAAATCATAACTTTTGATTGCAGAATGTGTCTTTTACATCTTGATCTTGCCCCCCCCCCATCCCCCTTGCCAGATACAAGAGGTGGGTAGAATTTACTCTTTGGAAGAGAGAGATGATGGAGGCAGGGGCAAATCACCACCAGGCACCTGTTTTAGGAGGAGGCTCTTGTGATGTGTCGCCAGCACTGGCAATTTTCCCTCCTGAACTGGAATGAAAAATTCTATCAGCTTTGTCTGCTTTTTACCTCAAATCTTAAGCATCTTGCTATACGATGTGACTGCAGCTGAGGTTAGGTTCTTAAAGAAGACGCTGTGTTCAGGCACAGGGTCATTCATTTAATTGATGTTTTTTTCAAGTTGGAATTCATTCTAGTATTTTGGCTGCTTTGGAGGGCTAATTCTTTAGTCTTTTTTTTTTCTTAATTATTTTTATTATTTTTGTATGTGTACCCATGGTGGACAGTGTTGGCTGGAGCTTCCCGACTAAATCAAGCCTGGAAGCAGGAGCAGCATCCACTTCCAAAATGGCTTGCCTCCGGAAACACTATGTACGAACATTGCTCAGGCTGTTCGTTCATAGGATCGCTATGAGTCGTCTACGACTCAACGGCATCAAACAACAATAACAATGATGACGACCAAAAGAGAGCTACGTTGGCCTAGTTAAAGGAAGCTGTGCTACCAAGCCAAAGGTGGGTGATTGTCATCTGTGGCCCTCAGCCAGGTTCAAATTGTCTTCCTGTCAAACATTCTTCTAGGTGGTATAGCACTGGTCTGTGCGTTGTTGTACAGAGGTAACTCGTGGTTGCTGTGATGCTGAAGCCTGTGACAGTGATGTGCCAATCATGGTAATGGGCACCCATGGTGGACAGTGTTGGCTGGAGCTTCCTGACTAAATCAAGCCTGGAAGCAGGAGTGGCATCCACTTCCAAAATGGCTTGCTTCCGGAAACTATGTACGAACAGTGCTCAGGCTGTTCGTTCATAGGGTCGCGTTGAGTCGTCTACGACTCGACGGCATTAAACAACAACAACAACAACCGTCAAATCGGATCTGATTGGTACAGGAGGAGATTGCCCTTCCTTCTCCAGCAGAGCATCTGGTGGATTTGAACCGCGTACCTCTGGGATTGCAATGCAGCTTCTTGCCACTAGGCCATCAGAGCTCTAATTCTTGAGTCTTGATGACTTTCATTACCATCCTCACCATTGACTTATTTTGCCACCTTACCCAAGCTTTCTGTCAGTTTCACATCTTCATATTGTAGCCTTTTATCTGCAAAACCTGCCTTGCCTGCAAGTTTAATTTTTCATGCTCTATCATCTTTTGAAATATGTGAGCTAGCCAGCATTATAGATTTCGCTTTAGAACGATCAAGTGTTCTGGGATTCCCATTCTTCTCAGAGTCAGCCAGTTTGTTATGATCCACACAGTCAAATGCCTTTGCATAGTCAATGAA